GCCCATGTCTGTTGTCACCTAATGTATCCTGCAGTCTCTGACACAGGCCGGAGCTGAGCAGGCCAGGCAGGAGCAGGCCATCAACCATAGGTCAACTCGCGGTACCTCTATGGGCTACCTTCTTCCTGCCGCCCACAGACCTGACAAGGTTTGCTATGGTTGTTACAGCATCCCCAGACAACACGGCCATTCCACAATGGAAAGGTCTTGGCATTATGTTGCCTTTTCTTTTTCTTCTTTTGGATGGGTGTTGTTTTCGAGACATAGTCTCATTCTGTAGCCCATCCTGACTTCAAACTCACAGCGATCCTCCCGCCTCAGCTTCCCAAGTGCTAGGAATTACAGGTGTATATAGCTTGGGGCCTGGGGGGTAAGTTGGGGCAGGCTAATTAACCTGTGGGTCCATGGCCATTGTTAGCATCAGTCTACATCAGGTCCTTTCTGCTCAATCTCTCCCCAGTTCCTGTTTCTCTTCTCTGCCGGTAGGCAACATTCTAATGGCGGAAGATATCATTTTGTACAAGCACGTCCCTTAAAATGTACAGAATTGTTTTGGATGCATGTCTTTTAACCCTTGTGAAAGCTGTGTAACGACCAGCCTCTTCCACCAAGCATAGTGTTTTATACCTACTTTAGCTTAGAAATACCTGGTGGCTTTGGGGAGGGGGAGGGGTTGTGGATCTCTGAGGTCGCACTGTCTCTAAGCGATTACCCTCATGATGACACTGCATTTCTTTCTTCCTCATGAATTTCAGGTTGGCCTTGAACTCCTCCCCATCCTGAGTGCTGGGGTGGGATTAGAGGCATGCACTACCACATCTAACCAGGAAGCAGCATTCTCCTTCAGGAAGGACTGACCCACGACACCTCCCTGTTAGTCTAGGCGCTAACAGAGCACAGCGTCAGGTTCCCGGATCTGGTCACCGAGTGCCATCCTGTGATCAGTCCCCTGCCCTCACTTGCCTTCCTGTCGTGAGTGTCGCGATCGGGAAATGATGAGAAGCGGCACCACCACCACCTAAATGTCACCACCACTCTGGCGAAGTCCTGCGCTCTGCCTGTGGCTCCTTCCCATGTGTATCTAAAGGAGGAGTGCGCTCAGGCCAGCCTGCCTGGGAGCTGTGTGAGGGGCCAGCTTGGGATAGTTCGGACCCAGCAGCCTGCTGTGGCGGGTTCCTGTTTTGTTTTTGAGAGTCTCGTGTGTAGCTTTTGATGACCTATAGCTTTCGTGTAGCCCCAGCTAGCCTTGAACTCTCCATCCTCCTGCCTCTGGCCTCCAAGAACTAGAAGGACTGTATGACCAGGTGCTTCCCCCCTTTCTTCTTTTCTTAAAAAAATTTTTTTAATTACATTTACTTATTTGTATTGGGGAGTATGTGTATGGAGGCATGTGAGCCAAGGCACATGTGTGGATGATATCAGAGGATAACTTATAGGAGTCCATTCTCTCTTTCCACCTTGTGTCCTCAGAGGTCAGCCTCGGGTCATCAATCTTGGCAGCAAGACTTTATCCTCTGAGCCATCTCATCCGGCCCTCTTTTTTCCTTGTTTAGACAGGGTCTCATGCAGGCCAGGCTGACTTCAAACTCACTATATAAGCTGGACTTGAACTCCCAATCCCCTGCTTCTACCAAGGATTGCAGGTGTTTGCCACCACTCTGGCTCCGGTTTATGTGGTTCTGGGGATGGAACCCAGGGCCTCCTACATGCTGGGCAAGCATGCTGCCAGCTGAGCTACACACCCAGCCTACTTGACAGCCTTCTTCACAGGGAACGGCTCTCTGGAAAGTGTTGGAATGCCAGAGAGGAGCAGACCTGAGCAGGACCTCTCAGTGCGGGTCACCAGGGTTGGAAAGGCCAAGAGATGTGGAGGCACGAGATGTGGAGCAGAGGTGTATCCACATTCCTGGGCTCTTCTCAGGCGGGAGCTGCATGCTCCCAGAGCCCAGTCTAGAGGCCAGTTCATGCTGCTTTGGGATGGTGTAGGAGTGGTGATGCGGGGTGGATGAGAGAGGAAGATTTGGGCAATGTCTTCCCACGGTGAACCTCGAGTCTACTACTACTTAGACAAGTCAAAAGGTGTTTCTCTCACCGATTTCAAAGCCTTTGTGGGTCATGACCGAGGGACGGATAGGTTTCTCTGGGCCTTTGAGGTTGAGGAAGTAAATCTATAGCTTTGTTTTCATTTTCTTATAGCTTTGGTCTTGTGTTTTGAGGTAGAGTGGCTTTGGGTTCAGATCACAGCTCAAACCCTGGCTCTCTGAAGCCGTATTTGTCTGTTGTAAAATGAGATTGCTGAGCATTCAGTGACACGGTATACGTAGTAATGATAATAGCTACTGGGTACACAGCAGCCAGGCTCGTCAGCCACTGTGCTAGGTACTTTATAATGTTTGCATTCGTATTCTATACAATTAATATCATTCTCATTCCCACGTGAAATCTCACATATAGTGCCTAACACATTGAATGTACTAAAAAAAAAAATAGTACTTCCCTCCTTCCCCACCTCTCTTCATCCCTGCTTTACTTGTGAATGCAAGAAAATTGGAGTCTCATTTGGGATGAGGGGGACTCATCAGAGAAGATGACAGGCACTGCCGGGGGGGGGGGGGTGTCTCAGATGCAGATTTCAGATTTCAGTCTGATGCATCCTATGGACAGGACCAGCCTTCTTCCCTACCCTGAGAGCTCTCCTCCATACCTCATACCATGCTTGACAGTGATTCCTGGAGTGTCCCCAAGTGCTACCAACTTGCCCTAAAGCAAAAGTCCTTGGCCCAGAGGAAAGGGCAGGAGAGGGTAGGACGTACAAGTCTGCTGTCCTGAGCGCCCCAGTAAAATGGCCCATGTCATCTCTTGTCCTAGGCAAGCCTGTCCTCGGTGCTGTACCAGCCTGGAGCCTGACTCCAAGCCCGCTGCCCCCTGTCTCCATTTCCAAGCATGCTTTGTTGCCCGTGCCTCATCCAGTTTCAGAGGCGCAGGAGAATCGGGGAGACAGGTTCCTTCCATCAACGGTGACTCCTCTGTCACCTGCACAGGAAGTTGCCCCTCTCCCTGATGCTCTGGGGATGAATGCCTTCTTCAGTACCTCAGGAAAGCCTCAGGGATTAGGGGGTTCCTTGGACAGAACTGAAGGAAAGGCTGTCAGGCTGTTGTGACTTGGGTCATAGGGCTCTCTCCTTATTTGGGGTACTTGCTACTGAACCTCGTTATGTTCAGCTTACCAGGAAATGTGGGGTGGCATGCTTCTCGGGTGCATTGGGAAGCAGGGCAATGTGATCCTATGAAGTAATATGATTTCTTGCCCCAAGAAAAAAGGATGAGACTTCGGCCTTCTAGCCTATCATCCCCTAGGATGGAGAACATACCCAGCCCAGAATGCTTCCCTCTGAGTCACTAATTAATCCTGACCTGACGGAGGTTGCGCCTCGCTGGCTGGAATACTAGGAGGCTCTCAGATTCTTCTTAGGCACTTGCCTAACAAGGGCAGGAGCAAGCTCAGCAGTTACCAAGAGCTCACATTCCAGAAACCTCATGCGCCCCTCAGTGCAGCAGGACTTTAGAGGATCCCACTGAAACTGGAGGTCTCCATCACACATTGCTCCTTAGACTCTGCACCCATGACTGGACAGCCGCCCTGCCGGGTGTACATCTCCGCCTCTCCTGAGCAGTTCCGTAGCATTCTGCCTTCCAATCATCTGTACCCACTTCCATGGGTTGTCTCTGTGAGAGGAAGGCTTTCCCCCTCTTGAACCCGAGGGGAGGTCTGAGGTAGGGAATCTAGACTTAGACCGCCCTTTCTTACTCTCTTGAGACCCAGGACCGTAGATGCTAATGACGATTGCTAGTGGCTGCAGCCCAGCTCGTGGTATTGTTAAGGGAACTGCCTTAGAATTTTCTTTTCCTTGAAGTGTGTGTGTGGGGGGGCCTTCCTGGAGAGGTTCATGGAGCAACTGTCCTTCCGCTTAAAGGATGAAGAAACAAAAGTTCACTCAGATCCAGTGAGGTTTTCTCCCATCTCTTGAATGCCCTATGCTGAACATCCAGCATGCTGAATTGCTCGTTTATTAAGTCAAGAAATCCAGTCCTTTATTGCCTGCTCAGCACACTATGTTAGGTGGGGCTGATTCTTCACCCAGTTAAAGATCCTAAGCAGCCTAAGTGGCGCCCTAAAGGTGACTAGGGAAGTAGCAGGCGTGTTTCTGAATTGGCTACCGGTGCATTTAGTAATAAAAATGGCAGCTGAGTGCCCACTGTATACAAGTTCTCTTCGAAGCAATGAGGAGCAAGCAGTGCGTAAGAGGGGCAAAAGAATCCCTGGCTTCACAGAGTCACCACTGTAGTGGGCAGGGACAGAAAAATTCAGAATCTTCTGTCAAGAGTAGTGGCTCACACCTGTAATCCCAGCACTTGAGAGGCAGCAGCTGGGGGATCATGAATTTTACAGCCAACTTGTGCTATATATAGTGAGTCCTAGGCCAGCCTGGGATCCATTGCAAGACTGTAAAAAAAAAAAAAAAAAAAAAAAAAAGTAGGGCTGGAGAGATGGCTCAGCAGCTAAGAGCACTGGCTACTTTTTTAGAGGACTCAGGTTCTGTTCCCAGCACCCACATGTCAGCTTACAACCATACTCAAGTTCCAGGGCATCTGACACCCTTGCCTAGCCTCCTTGGGTACCTTCTATCATGCAAGTGGTGCACAGACATGCATGCAGGCAAAATGTCCATATACATAAAATTTTAAAAAATTAATTTAAAAAAATCTGCTGGGCGATGGTGGCACACGCCTTTAATCCCAGCACTCGGGAGGCAGAGGCAGGTGGATCTATAAGTTTGAGGCCAGCCTGGTCTTCAAGAGCAAGTTTTAGAACAGCCAGGGCTACACGAAGACGCTGTCTCAAGTAAGAGAGGGAGCGGGAAGAAAAGTAAAATCTGATCCCCAGTTCCACGCTCCTCAGCGTTGTCTTGGACATCCTCTGCAAGATTAAGGGTCTCTACCTGAGGGTGACGATGGGTCCCCTGCTGCTGCAGTCCCTCTTACTCCTTGCAGTCTTGGAGAACCAAACTGGGAGCAAGTCCTGAGACAGTTGGTGGTGAAAGGTGCAGTCCAGGACCCCCGCTGCAGCCCTGAGTAGAACAGAACCCTAGGCTTACACACACATGCAATATTTTTTTCCTAAAAGAAAATACTTCTTTTAACATTTAATTTTAGAGGCAGGGCCTTGCTTTATAGCTCAGACTAAACCTCAAACTTGTAACACTCCTGCCTCAGCCTCTTGAGTGATGAGATTACAGGCATATGCCACTGTACCTGCTGATAAAGTTTATTTTAGAGATTGGGCACAGAAACTGGGTGAGATAGACCAGTTGCGAGCCCTGGGACCTGAGTTCAATCCCCATCGCCCACATAAAATGCCAGGGTGGTGGTATGTGCTTGTAATCCCAGCTCTGGGTAGGCAAAGACAAGAGAGTCTCAGGAGGTTACTGACTAGCCAGCCTAGTCTATTTGGGGAGCTCTAGGTCAATGAGAGACCCTGGCCCAAAATGTACCTCGATCCTCTAAGCACATGTATGCACACAAACATGCACATATACCTGTGTGTGTGTGTGTGTGCACATGTGCACATGTGCACGTGCACACATAATAAATTAGATACAGTAAAAAAAATAACAAAAATAATAACAAAATTGGGCAACTATGACAGCATATTTATGTGAATGTATGTGCCCTTCTCGTAACACCCTCAATTCTCTTTTCCACGGGATTTGAATAGGAAGGGACCGCTAGGGTTGGTCCTGCATCTAGGCCAGTCTGAACAAGGGAGTTAGACCCACTGCCTCAGGCTCTTTTCAGACCGCATTTCTCAGGATTCCCTGCTTGCTTAACTTACTGTAAGTCAGGGCACTGAGAATGTTGATGGGGCATGCTAGCTGAGGGAGGGGGTGTAACAACCTCCATCTCAGAAGAGCCCGCCTGAAACGGGGTTGATTGGAATCAGCAGGGGCTTTGATCAAATTGGTTTCTGGAGAAAATAATTGATAAAAAGAACCAAGTCCTTATCTGATGACTCTTGAGTTTCGTTCACCTTCTGGAAGCAAGAATGGCATCTGTTTATTACCCAGCCAATTGGAGTGCCTTGCCAGCTCCTGGAAGCATAACCCGATTATATGGAATGGGTATTTAACCCGGGCCCTACATATTTGGGTGCTACGTCTAGTGAGAGCCCCTCTCATTGGAGAGTCTGATGTGTGACTGTGTCAGCCCTTGTCTGTAGCCAAGCACAGGGCTCAGCTCAGCCTCTGTGCCACCTTCAGCCCGGCTCATCCTCACTTACACTTAGCTGTGCCCACACAGTCAGCCAGTATGTGCTCCACGTAACATCTCTCTCTCTGATGTGTCTGTACTAACGTGAGACCCCCTGGGGCTTCCTCACACTGATGACTGTTGGGGCCTATGCTCCGCCTGAACTTATCTCTCCTACGTTGGAGAAACTTGAACACTCATAGGCGTCAGACTTACTATCTGTCTTCCTCAGAGGCCCATCTGCCCTTTATAGGGAGAAAAATGATTCCACCCTGTATCATAAACTGCCAGAGCATTTTACTCTTTCCTTACCAGGAAAAGCTGCTGAGAGGGCTTAGCCCTTCGACCAAAATTTGATGCCAGATAACTGCCATAGGTTGCCAAATCTTCATACCACCGAAGGTGTTTTAAGGGACCTTGTATCAGCCTGTCTTCCTGGTTTGTAAATGTCTGTGTTGGGAGTGGGGAAGAGTATGGAGCGTAGGAGTTCATGGTGCGTGGGCAAGCCATCCTGCCCTCTTGGGTCTCAATTCCTTTTCTAATTCTTCTCTCACCTTACAGGAAAGGCCAGACTAAAGTATCTCCTGGGGGACTATGGGGAGGCATTAGCGGTGGTAACCTTTTATATGCAAGTTTCTTAAGTTAATTTGTGTGCCTGGGTTTGGAAGAAGTAACCTAAAGATGATGTTTCTGAGATCATTCTCTACATTACCAGTTGTCAGGCCCACCCAGGGCCTCCCATGAGTCCAGCCTCTCAGCTTAGGCCTCAGCTATCAGTTCCGCTCAGACACCAACTGTCATTTAAACCCGAGTGCTGGAGAGTACCTTGCAGATCCTGGATCCTCATGGCTGTTCTAATAGTTTCTTTTTGTCTTTTTTTGCATCTCTATTCCAGAGACCTAGCTGTCGTCGTCGTTATCCAGGGAGCCCTCCTCTTTCTCCTGATGACGGGGCTCTACCATCGCAGTTGCTGGTTGTTGCTAAGATTGCCTCCATGGTAACATGCTTATCCTGTTTACGCTTCTATGTGGACAAGTAGTCTAAGCTAGGAACCTGCCTGCTCTGGATGACTATTTCCATCGCCACACAGAGGACACCAATCAGCGTGACGCCAAGTCCGTCTTCTACTAAGTTCCCCCAACCTCTTCCTCCTCTCACTACTAGACTTGATACAGAAGAAAAGATCTAGGCTTGGTGTTGCTACTCTGAAGCTTATTGCACAAGATATTGTCAATTTATCCCCTAACCGGGCCCCCAGAGAAGGAAGAAGTGAGAAGAAACGGAAGAGAAGGCAAGAGACACAGATCAGTTGGAGGGAAACTCGACATCTTCTCTGCTTGAGGGTTCTGGTAACCGCAGGCAAGATGACGAGCTCATCAGCACATAGCTTGCCGGGCAACTCAATAGCTGAGGACTATGAAGGGGAGTTCGGCTGCACATTAATGGACCTGAGAAAGCTCATGGAGCTTCGTGCGGCCGATGCGGTCACCCAGATCAGTGCCCACTACGGAGGTGTACAGAATATCTGCGACAGACTGAAAACCTCCCCTGTAGAAGGTAAAGGCCATTTCAAGGGCTGGGGATTGGAGGATAGTGACTAGGATTTTGAAATATTATTTCCCAGCTTCTAGGGAAGGTACATTTCCGGAGACCCAATGGACTGGTTTTCGTCTTGTGGAAAGAGTACAGTGTTCTAAAGTGCTGGGAGGAGGGAGGCCATGCAGAGCTGTTCCTTCCCCTGACACCTGAGGAACTGTGATTCTCCAAAGCATTCCTTCTTCCTGTTTCCTTACCAGTCTGTACTTATTTGTGATTTAGATGCACTTATAATCAATTTCCCGTTCTATCAGTCTTTGATTACGGAAGAACTTAATATAGAATTCTTCCTCACACTTATCTTAAAGTTCAATGGCTGAGAGAGGGCCACAGGAAGTAGTGTTCACACCATCTGAGTACCTTATTGCACACAGAACTGGGATGGCATATCGTAAGCGTGCCTTTGGATCGATTGCTGTTTTCTGTCTTGGGGTTACTGATTTTTTTTTAACCCTGTCTGATAAACATTTTCCCCCCACCATGTAGGAACCAAACCCAGGACTTTGCACAAGCCCCACCCACCCACCA